ATCAGTTTTCTTTCCTCTTTTGTACAACCAATAATGAGAAAAGGCCCTAAGAGTTCTTTGATATCACTAGTAACATGTATTTTTGGGATGGTTGTTTTATCTAGCCTTAGTGTCTAACTTGTAGGTTACAACCTTAGGTGTGTTGGTTATGGAACAACAACAACAACAACAAAAAGAATGATATAATTTAAGTTACGGTCTTATTTTTGTCTCAATAAATATATTAAAATTTGAAATACATTCCTATGTCTAAAAGCTTTCTTCATATTAAATATTTGCCTTCTGCCTTTTCTTGTTTCTAGGCAGACAAGTATTTTGAAATATTATAAAAAGCATCAGCTGGCATTAGCAATGTCAGAACTGTATATGATCATATAACCTTAAAAATACTTGAATGTGGTTATAATGAATGCTAGTAAATTAGCATTGGAATATATAGTCATATAAATTAATATATACATATGGGTAAATAGGCAAGATGTTCATATCTTACTAGTTTTTACCTGTATTTTATGACTATACTCTTATCTTTTCATTAGTTCAACTCATGATAGAATCTAGATATCTAGATAAGTCATCTTCGGAAATGCCTCAATTTCATTTTGTAAAGCAATACTATGAAAATTATTCTTTATTTTCTCATTCTTTTGGTTTCACATGCACGTGGTGTGCATTCATATGTGTATGCATTTTTATTGTGTATGTAGGCACGCATCCGTGGAGTTGCATGTGCATGTGTGTGAGGATGGGTGTGCAGGCCTCAAGTTGACGTCAGGAATCTTCCTCTTGATTTTGTTCTACCTATTCAATGGGGCAAATCCCCTCAGTTGAAACCAGAGATCACCAGTAGGAGCTAGGGTAGTGTCAGTTGAAACCGGAGCTCGTAGATAGAGGGCAGTGTTCTGTGAAGATTCCCCATCTCTGTCTTCAGAGTACAGGAACAGCATAGGGGCTGCTGTAGACACTGGCATTAAGGAAGGTCTAACTCTAGCCTTCTAAGGTGAGAATTCTTCCAACATGAGTGCCGTTGTCTTTTATCCCTTATATTAAATGACCTACTTCTTACACCAACACTACACGATAGGTTCTGTTGTCTGTATTTCATAGACCACTGAGGTTCTGGGTTGTAACTTGCAAACCATTGCAGAAAGGGGATGCCAGGGGGCAGTTTGGCTGCAGCCCCAGCTTGATCCACAGCCTTGAGGACGCCTTGATGAAAGGAAAGTTCTAAGGCGTGTGAAGCAATTGCTGTTCGCACGATCTTTCAGGAGAATCTGAGAGACTGATCTGAGTGGGAAGACGGACTTGGGGAGCATTCGGAGGTTCTGCAGAGCAGTCTTCACTGGAAGAGCAAGCAGTAAGATTGTTTTGAATAACTACTTCCCTCGGGTCGAACAAGGTCTCTCTGAAAAGCCTTCTGCATTAGATTGAGTGAAAGATGTAGTTGTCATGATTGCTGAGTGGGTTGAAGTGACAGAATAAATGACCTCCTCAGCACAGTGCCTCTCCCCAGGAGCCAGGATGCACACAAAAACAGGGGAATTTTAGGGTAATTTGAGCAATATTTGCAGTGGTGGCAACACATGACTTTCCTCTCAGCAGGCTATGGTGGTAGGGAGTCTTTTTCAGGGCTCTGTCTTACTGCCTAAAAATTTCCAAAGCTTAACTGACTGCTAGGATAATTAACCCTCCTGCATCCTGAAGGTTTCTTTAGATCCACTTCCAATACATTAAGGAAAAGAAAGAAAACAATCATTTTCAAGTTGACCAGCCTGGCCTTTGGTTGCTGATATATGGTAAATTGCAGCCCAATAGGAAACAAAACCATATTTCTCATGGACAATATTGAAAGAAACCTATTATTTTTTTCTCTTATTTTTAAGTACATGAAATTGTAATATACTTTATAGATTTTATTATTTGCAGTGCCTCCAGGTGAGTTGTTGAAATGGGAAGCATGGTATCCGGTTACTGGAAGAGGTCTGTTGTAGTTAACCCTCTCATTTTGTATTAACCATAGCTTGGCCACAAACCCACCAATGTGTACTCTTTGAAAACATACTAAGCAAAGGATCCACACCTTCAGATTTCCCACTGATCTCAGTTCTTGCTCAAAGCACAACCAATGATGAGCAACAGTCATTTTTACCTAAAACTAAAATGCCTAAGGGCTTTGCAGGTCTCAAACTCATAATGGTTTTCACTGAATAATTGCAAGAACAAATGACCTTTGCCTAGGGCAGAGTTTGGTCCATGACCCATTGGCCCCACTGTGTTGTGTCTGTGCTGAGGAAGGTGTTATATTATGGCTGTGAATACATGATGCAGTGATCTGATACCTCATGGCAACCCGGAGACAAATTAAAAAGAGAAGAGGGGGAAAGCAGATTTCCACAATCTCCTTCAGGGATGTCTCCAACAGCCTAACTTTCTTACACTTGGACATGCTTTTTAAAGGCTTTGCTACCTTCTGATAATTCATTCTACTAAGGAAATAAATGTTAGTATATAGCATTTTCAGCACCACCACTAAGCCATATGGCATGGGCAATTTTATTTCTGAATAATATTGGAGTCCTGCAAAATGTATTATTGCACTATTCCAGACTGTATACCAGCTGTGGGGTTTATGGTTCACCCTTCATATGGAATATGATTCAGCCACTAAAAAGAACAAATGAGCTATTAGGTAATAAAAGTAAGCAGCAGAGATGTTTTTATAATGAGACATCATATTAATGATTTCAGTATGATGAGGTGAATAGAATGGGAAATATGGAAGAATGAAAAGCAATTTGTTAAAGTGAATCGCTTAGCTCCTGGTGTGTGTGGGGGTAGGCTACCAAAATGTGTGGGAAAAGACAAAGAGAAAAAAGAAGAAAACACTTCATCTAAGGCTTAGGATAGACATTGGTTCCAAAGAGAAGGAGTGCTGGAATCCCATGGGATAAAAGGGTGTCGTGCTTCCTCTACCCACAAAGACACAAGTTTATAGCTGTGGCTGAAAAGGGTTCTGGGAAGGCAGGAAGCAGTGAGGGGCCGCGTTAGCCTCTTGCCCAAGCACTCTGGCTTCTTCCACCCAAACAGGTAACTAAAAGTTTAGGTAGGGCAGCAGAATTTTCTGGGCTTAGGGTTCTAACACAAACTCCCAGTGACTTTCCAAATTGAAAATGGCAGTAAGACTCAAACAGGTTACTGTGAAAATTAAATATGGTGGCAGAATTTAACGCAAATTATGTCTATTTCAGTGAAAAGTGGTTTTTTTTTTCCATAAATGTATCAGATCATCCATCTAACTTCTGTGGTCTAATGTTTATGGGTTTTTAAGCTTGAAATAAAAATTATTGAGTGAGTAATTCCGGAGAAGCCTCCGTAACACTGAGCTGTCCACTGTGCTGTTAAATACACTCTGTGCATTCATACTCCTCCAGTTCAGGACAGGGACATGAAGGCAGATCACCAGGAGTTCAAGACCATCCTTTGACATTAAGGTGGATTCATGTCCAGGCTGGCATACAGGAGATTCTGTCTCAAGCAACAACAACAACAAATTACTAATGTTGTAATGACTGGAAATAAGTAAGAGCCACCTTGAGGCTTTGTGAAAGGTTGCCTTGAATGACAGAAGTGTTTTGCATGGCAGAAAACGTTGCAGGTTGAAGAAGCACAAAAGGGGTGCTTTTTTTGGCCATTCTGAATTTATAATCCATGAATTATGAGTTATGGAACCTCAAATGTTCCATGCTGGGAAAATGAGACAAGGATGTTGATGCAGAGGTTCTAGGAACATTCGCCAGTGCTAGAGTGTTTGCCCTGTGTACACAAAGCTCAGTCTCTGAAACTCTTAACAAACATTGTAAGGAGTTTTAAGATGGGTTCAGTAAGTTAGATCAAGCATAGGTAATTATCAAATATACTTAATGCCTACTTTTAAGTGGCTGCAGAAATAGGGCTCTCATGAAGTTAGCATGTAAAGTTTGTCTGCTATGCTTACTTTGGAGACAACAAAGTGCTGGTTTGCTGATTGCTGTATACTTTTTTTTATACTACATTTAAACACATTTTCTAAACATAATATAACCAAAACCAAAAATATGTGTTAGGGATTATTATTTATGTCTTTGTTGTGGCAAGCTTCCACAGTTGGAAGATTTCTTTCACACTTTTTTGTTGTCTATCTTAATTCTTTGTGGCCCGGAAATGCAATGTTCTGACTGTTGATACCCTCCAAGCCCCATGTCTGGTTGTTTATGAAGGGAATCAGAGCTTGTGTGTCTGTCTTTATTGGTGACTATGGGTAACATGCCAGGGGTTAAGAGATAACATGCATTAACACTGACCAAGCCCTGCTCATAGCCCTAAATCTCTGTCCTGGAAAATCCAAGTCTTACGAGATGTAGCTTACGGCTGTATTGGTTCAGACCTGAGTCTGATGCCTCCTCTGCACTGTTTTGAAATTTCATGGGAAACTTCCCATGCTGACTTCCAGTATTGACATCTGATATGAGGGCCTGGGACATCTGCATAATGCAATGTTCAGACTGTTCACACTAGCCCTGTGTTCAAGAGGCAGCAGAGACTGTATTCAGAAAGCCAGAGAAACCACCTTGGCACAAATTCATGTGCTGTAGTATATGTGTGTTTCAAAAATTGTTATAAGGCGAATATTCCAGAAATGGAGAAGTTGCACAATCATATAAAAGTTTCGCTGTGAATAGTAGCTTGATCTAAAGATGTTAGTGTTTAAATATTTCCAGTCTTAGTTCCCTGTAGCCATCTCGAAAAATAATGTAAAATAAAATAATAAAAGACCACAAATTTAGTGGCTAAATAATAGAATTTTATTGTCTCGCAGCTCTGAAAAGGAGGTGTCCAAAACAGGAGATCCATACTAAAATAACAGCAAGACAATGCTGACTTCCCCTGCAGGGCAAGAACCTTCTCCAGCTTAGCTAACTGCCAGCCTTACTCCCCGCCCCCCACCCTGTATCCTCCTGCTTTCCCCATCCACCATAGCCACAGGTTCTGAAAAGCCTTGAATGGATATTTGGGGGTGGGAGGAGATTATTCTGTCTACCATATGGAACAGCTTTTTGTGCATTGACTGAACAGATTAGCGTTTGCTATCCCATTTAAACAGTGCTATTCTGGAATGACAATGACAGTCTTGGGTCACAGATTTATCATGGAACTAATAGAGAGATTTAATGACAGTGTATTATCTCCCAGGCTCTAGAAATGCAAAGTCCTTGGCAGGTGAGATGGTCTTTCCTGAGAGAACAACTCAGTCAAGCAGTAGCAGGACTGCCCCATCTAGCTGACAGTTCATTTTTAGGACAGGACTCCTCAGGCTTTACTCAGCATCACAGGTTAAAATCACAATGCTCAGTGCATCAAATCACAGAACAATGACTCATTTCTGAAAAAAATAAATCTGCTTCTTCATTTGAATAAGAGAATAGATAGAAGCTGTATTTTTAAATAAATAGACTTTGATGGATAGTAGGAAACAGTCAGAAAATAGATCCCCCAGGAAATTCTACAGTACTCAGGGACTTCTTTGTTATAAATAATGCTTTAATTGTGTATTTTTCTGATCAGAAAAAATTACAATTCACTTCACGAATACTTTAAATTTGCAATGCCATTTTAAAAACAGTCAGTTAAAAGGAACTCTTGTCACTTGAGTTATACTATTTGTAAAATTAAAAAAATAATGTATTCAAGTATATCACTCTAATACGAAAAGATAATCTTCATAACAGTAAAATATTGTAGACAAAATACTTCACACTGTATCTTTGCATTAAAGACATTAACAGTATTATAGTTTGACAAATTTATGTTTTACTGACTATATACTTGAACTCTCAATCAATGAAGAATAAAAACATTTTACATTCTACTTTCAAATCTAATGTTCGTGGAAGAACATACATCTTTGTATCTGTCATTTGTAGGGTCTTTTCCTTGTTTGCTTTTAGACTCCTGAGAACGTGAATATAGCAAATTTAGGTCTGGGTCTTTTAAGTTCAGACCAGTTCCCAAACTGCTAGGATGTGTTTTCTGTTCTTGTTGCTATTTTATCTTGAAATTTTCTCATCAAGTTTAGAGAAAGCCAAGTTTATTGGAATGACAACTCCTTGTCAGAGGCGTCTTCCTCCCTGCTTTATATTCTGCCTCTCCAACACTCCTATGTTCTCCCTTCTGCAAAGGAACTCATTACTAAGGTGGTAGGGGACCCGTTTGAAAGGCAACATGAGTCTCAAAGATATCAAGCCAGTGGTTTCCTTGAGGACATTCATATATTTCTTGTGTTAGAAAGAAAACTTTCCTTGGGCACACTGATATCACTCCAGAGAAACCAATTATTTTCCAAATATCTGCAATAGTATTTTTGACATATCTAACTATGTCATGTAGGAAAACACACAGTGTAGCTCTCTGGTCCATAATTTTAACTCATATTAACTATATCTTTTATACTGTGAACAAAAAAAAAACAAATTTGAATTTAATTACTAACAATAAAAAGACAGATTTCTTTTACGCACGGGTTATCTGGATCTTGGAGTTTTCATTTCATTGCAGCTATAATTATCAGGAGTTCTCTTTGTTTATCTTAAACATCCAAAACAACAGGGGACATTTTTGAACAATCTATAATATTCTTCTTGAATCTTGATAAAAGAGAAAAGAGGAAATGCTACATTATTAAGACAATCACATAGCACTATTTTCAAATGGCCATCTTTTCTTTGCTGAAGCCTTATTGCTGTATGAATATAAGAATATACTCAGGGGAATATAGGCTAAATAGCTTCCATTATGTTGTATTATATTATGTCTAATAAGGTTTTTGCAAGGCATATTTAGATGTGAACATCTATATTCTCGTATTTAAAAATAAAAATTATTTAAATCATTATTGTGTACTTAAAATGGACTACATTTAGGCAATAAAAGGCGGGAGTCACAAATCTTCAAGGCAAAAATTTTTCTCTCAGTTTGGAAACTTGGTACAAAAATCTAATGCAGTTTTGAGCAGAATCTTTAAAAGACTTACCTTTCTAGATAAAACACATAGGAATAAGAAAATAAACATCCCTTGGAAGGCATTGCTGACTGTGAAGAGGTAAGCAGTCACCACGGAAGCATGAACCACGTGGAGAACCCCAAAGATCCAAGTGGTACCCAGGAGGAAGAGGAGGGCCAGCGCTCCTCTGGCACAAGACCTGGAGCACATTTGAAGAGCTTCAATTAAAACCCACTCAAGCCCATGGTAACCTGGACCTGGAGCACATTTGAAGAGCTTCAGTTAAACCCATGCAAGCCCATGGTAACCTGCAGGTGCCACACAGTTTCCATATATCCTCCAGTTTTGCAAAGGATGGGGAAAATAAACATTTTGTTACCAGAAAGGTCACAAATGACTAACATGGTGACAGCTGCCTTGCAGTTTGGTGAGATAGCCTTTGGGGTAAATGTGTTCCTGTTCAACCTAGAATGTGTTTCAAAAATTAAAGTCTCGCCATTAAAAAGTATACTTTTTGAAGGAAATAATTGATTTTAAAATGTTTTAAAACTGGTATGCTGCTGTATGCAGCTTTTGATTTTTGTATCTACTACAAAAGTAATCCTTAAAGAGCATCTTATGTAGACTTGCGTCATCTGTGTTTAGCTCATCAAAAGCAAATTCTGGCTCATTTTTAAGTTCAATAGTGATGAATGTCTAGAATGTAAATCGAGAATTTCACTGCTGTTGCTTTGACAAGGTAGTAACCTCAAAAAATAAATTCATGTTAAAATACCAATGTCTTCAAATTTAAAAGAAATATGCATACTATGCTAAGCCAACCATATTTCAACTGACTGTCAGTGACTTCAGGTAAAGCAATATTAAATCTTTCTCACTGAGGATGTGGCTTTGAAAATGATTCATTGGATGCTTCCTCTCTAGTTTATTTTCAGTTGAGCCATTATTATAGGTGCGTTAGCAATGCAGAAAATGCATCATTTTGAACCATGTTGAAGCCAGGGCAGACATGAAACTCAAGAGTATTGAGGACTGAAAGAAGCTGATCGCTACAGCACTTGCTAAGCCTCAGCTGTGGCCCTTCCTCAGGCTCAGAACTGCAAGGTCAGGAGTGTTCCCATGCAACAGGAGCTGCAGTTGCTTCCCACACCCTCATGTCAGCTTCTCCTGAACAAAGCACTTTCAAGGTCTGCCCAGACCAGCCTCAGAGAGAGTGTTAAAGGAAAAAATCATAGCAATATGTAAACTCTGAGTTAGAAGAAAGGTTTCCTAAACTCTGAGAAACGTCTGACAAAAGACAGTCATTAGGATTTATTTTTGGCTTAAAACAATTCTTTCTTTTCCTTTTAATTGGAGAACATTTTAACACGTGTATTCACTTACCATTTAATCTGGATTGTTTAAAATTTTTTTAAGTTATTAAGTTCTTTTTTCTAATATATATTTTAAATATGGTGGGAAAACTAAATCTTAAAAAACACACACACACTCCCCCCAGATTATCAGTTGTTTAAGTGATTAAGGGTCTAGTAGTTGATGAGTGGTTGAGCACTTGCCTAGCACATAGATACTTTGTGTTTGGTCTGTGTTATTACCCAGAGCCACAAGAAAAAAGAAAAGAAAGATAAGAAGGAAGGAAGGAGGAATGGAAAGAAGGAAGGAAGGAAGGAAGGAAGGGAGGGAGGGAGGGAGGGAGGAAGGGAGGAAGGAAGGGAGGAAGGAAGGGAGGAAGGAAGGGAGGAGGGAAGAAGTTGCTAAAACATTTACATAAACTTCAATGACTACATACCTAATGTTCTCACAGCAACCCACTTCTGGTTTTAATCCGGCAGTGTGGCGAAATACTTTGTATATGATAACTCCGAAAGCTATGAGATTAACCTGGGGAGATACCTTAATGTCAAAAGGGCGATCATTTTCATAGTGCACTCTGGTTTACCGAAACGCAATGAATAAGCAGTGAAGATGTCAATAATGAGAAACACAGACTCGCGGGACACACACACTTTTGTATGTGTGCACATACACACAGACTTAGGCAAATACCTATCATGGCTGATTTTGACAGAGCCAAGGAACTTTTTTCATTCGCATTGTAAGCAGCTTAGGTGTGACACCGAGGTGAGCAGAAAGTTCCAGGGATGTTACAACTACATTTGCAGACTGGCTGATATCATCCATCATCCACTGCCTTTGAACGAGGGTCCTCTGAAAGATCAACCAGTGCTCTTAACCACCGAGCCATCTCCCCAGCCCTATTTTTCTGTTTTTTGTTTTTAATTCTTAAAAAGTCAGACATGCCACAAATGGTATATACTCATAAGTGGATATAGACATATAATATAGGATAATCATATTAAAATATGTACACCTAAAGAAGCTAATCAAGAAGGAGGACCCTGGGTAAGATGATCAATCCGCACTCAGAAAGGCAAACGAGATGGATATCAGAAGAGGGAGAAAACAGGGAACAGGATAGGGGCCTACCACAGAGGGCCTCTGAAAGATTCTGCCCAGCAGGGTATCAAAGCAGATGCTGAGACTCATAGCCAAACTTTGGGCAGAGTTCAGGGAATCTTATGAAAGAAGGGGGAGACAGAAAGACCTGGAGAGGACAGGAGTTCCACAAGATGAGAAAGAAAATCTGGGCACAGGGGTCTTTTCTGAGACCGATATTCCAACCAAGGACCATTCATGGAGATAACCTAGAACCCCTGCACAGATGTAGACCATGGCAGCCTAGTTTCCATGTGGGTATCCTAGTAATGAGAACAGAGACTGTCTCTGACATGAACTCAGTGGCCTGGTCTTTTTTCACCTCCCCCTGAGGGGGGAACAGCCTTATCAGGCTACAGAGGAAGACAAGGCAGCCACTTGTGATGAGACCTGATAGACTAAGACCAGATGGACTTGGGGAGGGGCATGGATGGAGGAGAGGGAGGGAGAGTGGGATTGGGAGGGGCCAAGGGAGAGAGCTACAGTTGGGATACAAAATGAATAAACTGTAATTAATAAAACAATTAATTAAAAAAATTTAAAAAGTCAGACATGCAATGTTTGAATGATAAATGCTATCTATCCTAATACAAATATATGAATACCAAAATATTAAATATTAAATTTGTTATTAATACACTAGTATTTTATTGATTATACATTAATGTAAACAAAAATTTCAAAATACATTTTGAAATGATAGTACTAATGCAATATCACACTATTAGGTAGTTCTTATATTAGTGATTTAGAAGCCTAGGGTTATAGGAAGCCTTTCCCTATGCTGAGAGGTAATTCCTTTACCTATTCTTTCCGATGTTGTAGATGGAACCAAGGAACTAGCACACACTAGAAAAGTGTTCTAGTACTGAGCTACATCTCTTGTATCCTAAGAAGTTTTGTAGACTTTCTCAGAATTCAGTTGAATAATTTCTATTAAAACAAGTATAAAGTCATGGGTTAGAGAATTTCATATTGCCACTTACCCATTGAAAGTTCTTTGAGATGAAATCTTAAAGGAATAAGGGTGCTAGTCATTTCTTTCTGCTTTCAACTGTTCATTACTTCTAATTATAAGATTAATTAATTCTAATTACAGTAATACTTCCATTAAAAGACCTTAGAAATTGCAGAGGCAGGATAAAGTATGCTTAAATTGACTTAGTTGACAGATTTACCCTATTTGAATGTTCACATAATGAACTGAAATGTCAATTTATTAATATTTAATAAATACCATTTAATAGTTATAAAAAGAATATGTAACATTTATATACTTTAAAAACTATAGTTTTGCATAAAATTAGAAACCACTACGGTTAATGTTATAAATATATGCATATATATTTTTAAGTAACAAAGATGTTTCACAATTGGTTGATGTAAATGTTGTCTGCCATTACTGCTTTGAAATATCTTCAGATCTTTTGACGATATGTTTAGAGTGAACTTTTGTATTTCATAAAGAAAGAACTAGAAGATAAAGTAAGTGATTAAGAATCTGTTCTAGATCCTAATTTTCCTATATTAATAGGTTAGTGAAAGTATTGGCTAAAGCTTCTTTGACTCCTGTTCCTTGTAAGCTTTACTTTCAGAGCTCAGAAGCACACATACACTTTGCATACTTCCTTTCTCATTACATGGATGACAGGGAGGAGGAAAACAGACCTTTCTTTTGGGGAAATAAAAAACGTTAAAAAATTTTTTGTTTTGTAAAAGAAAGCAACTGTTAAAAATAAGGAGGAGGAGGAAGAGAAGAAGGAGAAATAAGATTGTAAGAAGGAGGAAAGAAGGAAGGAAAGAAAGACGACAACAGCAAAACACCTGGTGCTGGATACATGAGAAGTTAATTCTTATCCTATATGTTCACATTTCTTCAAATGTAAAGGAACATAGCCTAAGACATCTTTATCAAAAGGTATAGCAAACATATAGAAGTTCAAAAGTGTCGTGAACACCTCAAATATTTTATTTTCATGCACTGAAAGCACAGATATCTGGGTGTTAAATTTTGTTTAGGAATTTTCTCAAGGGTGTGAATGGTCAAGTGTTAGACACCAGTGAGAGCTTAGTACATACATATTCATGAATAAAACTGACATGATCTTTTGTTGTTGTGGATTTTACTAAGAGAAGACAAAGTAACCAGATAACTTTAAGGTCTTTACCAGCCTGCAAACTGACTGTAAGTCACAGATGGCACTGTTAGGAGAGGCAAGAGGCTGTGTGTTAGTGTCAGGCATCATCACTTATAGTCCACTAGAGAAGTAAAGGAAGAGGGAGGAGAGAAAGAAGCTCTGTGAAGGAAGAAAACATCACAAAATATAGGTGGCTGCCCTGTGGACGCAGTGCTGTCACGGGAGCTATATGCATGAAATAAAAAGGGACAGTTTCTCTTCTCTGTTGCAAAGGAGTTTATTTTGTTTCGAGCCAGTGTCACACTCTGTAGACCAGGCCAGCCTTGAAGTCATGATCCTAATATCTCAGCTTCTCAAACACTTCATTGCAGGAATGTGCCATCATTCCTGGTTTTGCGATAATATGGAATCTACTTTTTTAATCCTTCTCCCAAATAACGTCTACACCAGGAAGTTAAAATGGTTGTTAAAAATTAATAATTTTAGTCATAGAGTATTGGTGTTTTAAAATAACTTGGATTTTTCTTCAGTTATTCAAATGTACTATTTCAACATCATGTTGGATCATATGTTACAGCAATACAAACCCAGTGGAAAAGCCTACATTTACTTCTTTAACATTACTTGTACAAAATTTGCCCATAAATACATAAATTTCATTAAATAATTTTTACTGTAGATTCATAAACCATACATAAGAAATCAGCATCATTTAAAGAGTCTCAAGGCATATGGCTTTATGTACTTAGTGATGGAAATGAAATTTAAACTCTACAGTTTACATGGAATGGAAAAATATTTTAAAAGAATACATTGTGAATCAGAGTAAAAGATCTGTGTAAGGTAACAAGATTCCTTAAGACAAGTTTATATAGAATTAAAAGTTCTGATAATAAGAAACACTTTGTGCTTACGGTCAGGTGGCGGCCTTGAGATGACAAGCTGCACTTGAATGTGAATTAAACGGCTGGCACTACATTATTAATATTGGGATGATGTGGTGGGACCACATGGTTATTACTGAACTGAGAGCTTGGGTAATTTTTAAATACAAATACAACATTCATGTTAATCTTAATAAACAATTTCATTTTCTCATTAGCATCTACCTAAACTAATTGTAGAGCCTAGAAGCTATGGTTCTGATACAAACATAAAGGAACCAGCTTTTGTCATCTTGTCAGTTGTTATTTCTTTGTCATTGATGCCTAAATGTTAGTTTCACAAATGCACAGGGCTAACTGAGGATTTATAAATGGACATTCACCATTGCGTTTGCCTTAAATTCTAGGCTGGCATTCCAGAATCCGGCATACCTCTATAGAAATGAGCAAGACACGGATCCTAGATATCAAACAATGTAACACTAGGGGTTATTGCTGTGTGTTGGAATACAGAAGAGAATAAAGAAAGCTATGAGGGAACTCAATGCCATGAAAAATCAACACTGAAGAGCATTGGTTTAAATTTAACTTCATTTGTCCCGTATAAGTGATGTTTCTCTACACATTAATCTATTTTTAATGTCAGTACTTCAATGCTTGGAACATACCTTCTACTTGATAGCCTATTTCAAAAATTCTTTAAGCAGTCTTTTTACTGTTTAAAATTTTTTCCTAGAAGGAAATTTTAATAGATGGACAGACAAGAGAGCAAGGGGTTTATCTATGGAGTATTTAGACCTTCAGATACTGTCAACAAAAGGGCTTCAAACCCACAACTCAAAACATAGCACGTCAATCTTACACTTTTCTTTTCTTGGTCTTTTCTCAATAATTGATCATGCCATCTATATGCTGGTGCCAGTTCTCACGGAAAAGAATGGGAAAATTTCTTTTGTAGCACTTTTAGATTCACACTTTAATTTTACATTATATAAAAAAAAATCAGGTTCATTTAAGACTATGCCATTTTTACAACTTACATGTACTTTCAAATAATTTTAATACCTTTAAATTAACTGGAATCAGACAAACATGCTTCTGCCATGAACACACAAACTATTCACCTACTGAGAGTCCATAAGAACGTGCATTCTTTTCCAAACCTTAGATCATCTTCTAAATAATGAAGTGGTTCAATTTAAGAGAAAGAAAGAAAGAAAGAAAGAAAGAAAGAAAGAAAGAAAGAAAGAAAGAGAAAGAAAGAAAAGAGTTCCATTGTCATGAACCAAATTAGCATCAAAGGGTTGTAGTGTTATCTTCTGTTTGATTTTATGTTTGTTGTTGTTTTTTTTTTCCCAGTTGG